GGTCTAGTAACGAGCGTCAAAGTACTCCCGAATTATACCTAACGGTGACCGATTTTTTTTCTAAGAGTGGTCTTAAGTACCAGTAAATTATGTATATTATTTAAATTTCAAATCATGTGACTTTACTATTGATTATGTCGAAGTTAATTAAATGTAATTATATTCTTCTATGTGAGGATTAATGGTTCATGCCACACAATATGAGTTAACGGCCCTGTCGTAAATAGCGCGGATAAAAGTCGGGATTTGGCATGGTATGTGGGATCAAAGCACTAACAAATAAAATACTAATTAAACAACGCGTATTTAACGGAAATTTTATTGTTCAAACGCCCCAATTAGCAACATCCGTGGTACCAAAAGCCACTTTCAAACTAAATACAAATTGTCTCTCCTTTCTGCTAAAATGCTGACTTTAAGAAAAAATAAAACGCTGTGTTCTTGTTCTGTACAGATGTCTCTGTGCATTTGATGTATTTGGTTTAGCCATTCCAAAACAAGAAGGACTTCCACTGCCAAAACACTTAAATAATGATACGCGCGATATCCTGCAAGTGTTCTTCTTTTTTATATGCATAATTAATGTAAATTTCAGCTAAAGTTTGGCTGACGACGCGCATGCTCACTGCCTCGTTCATGTACACTAACATTTACATCACTGGGACTACACGTTTATCGAGATTCCCTGCAACTAGCTGACGAACGAAGATGAACAAAGACGATTCACGTACTCGGACAAACAGTAAAATTTTTATCCTATACACATAACATTAATTATCCATTCCGCGTTTCTCCTTTTCATGCAGATTCAAAGTGGGATAAACGTGATCTAACCTATGAGTACTTGAGTTACACAAATGACGTGTCGAAAGATGATCAAAGAAACGCCATCTCTCGAGCATTCAAGCGATGGAGTGACGTCACGCCATTGACATTCACTGAAGTGACCGATGGCGGCGCTGATATTAGCTTAGACTTTGTCGTTGGTGATCATGGAGATGGAGACGCGAACGCTTTCAACAGGAAAGGTAATATTTAAGCAATAACCCCCGCCGAAGGCGGGTATACCACGAGATATTGCACAATTCACGACATATATGCACGAGCCGCAGGCGAGTGCATATATGGAGTGAATTGTGCAATATCAAGTGGTATACCCAACTTCGGTGGGGGTTATTGCTATTATATTATACCAGTATATTGACAATTCGATAAAACTTGTAAAAAAATAGTTTACTTTCATCTACTAAAAGATCATGATTATGGTCCTTGAACATGAATATTTATAAGAATAGTATGTAGTTGTACGCTGAATGCATACAAAAATTACATGCGCAACACAGTTCAAATTGAATACAAACTATTTTTTATTCAACATGAAAATGAAACATATCCACGTTGAATAGAGGATGACCTTTCTGACCTTTTACTGACGCACAACGCGATTTGAAATACAGGGTCGTGTACAGTTTGGGTCATTTAAACAACGGATTTTCCACGTTTTCATTCCGGTTTTTGTACAATTTGGACTGTAATTTGCCCATTGAAAGTACAGTTGTGAAATAAACCGGTTTTTGTGACTCAACATACTACTTGTAACTGTGGATATTTGACGTTCAGCGGTACTTGGTTCGACCGAAATTTGAGACGCGGCGGGACGCGGTGTATCATGTACGGCGACCGGCACAGCGACCTCAGTTCCAACATCTGACCTGGATACCTTTGGTATAACCAAAGTTTCGTGACAGTATGACTGACAAGTTTTGTCGTTGTTCTGGGGTAAGTTTGATGGTGTAAGATCGGATTTTCGCATCGTTTTTGTGACACGTACAT